TCCCTCTGGCGTGTCGACCGCACCACTCAGCTTGGTGTCATCTGCAAACTTGCTGAGGGTGCACTCAATCCCACTGTCCATGTCATTGATGAAGATATTAAACAGTACCGGTCCCAATACGGACCCCTGCGGGACGCCACTCATCACCAATCTCATCACTACCCTCTGGATGTGACCATCCAACCAATTCCTCTCCCACCGGGCAGTCCACCCATCAAATCCATACCTCTCCAGTTTAGAGAGAAGGATGTTGTGGAGGATCATGTCAAAGGCCTTACAGAGGTCCAGAGAGACGACATCTGTAGCCCCTCCCGTGTCCACTGATGTAGTCACTCCATCATAGAAGGCCACTAGGTTGGTCAGGCAGGACTTCCCTTTGGTGAAGCCATGCTGGCTGTCTCGAATCACCTCCCTGTCCTCCATGTGCCTTAGCAGAGCTTCCAGGAGGATCTGTATGTTGTTATAAATTATTTTTTAGATTGTATTTCATAAAGCAGAATATTTGAAATACCTTGCTGCAGAGTAAGTTCTGTGAAGAGCAAGAGGAACTGATCTAGATGACAAACGAGCACATCTGAAATGTGCGTTTAAAGATGACTGAAGCAAACTTGCAATATAAGTAGCCTGGCCCTTAAAAGCTACAAAGGATGCGCGATCAATCTAACAAGTAAGTTAGGGAGAAAAACACCAAACAAAAATCCCCATACATACCTGCAACTCCAAATAGAATTGGACTTGAAGAAGTTCAGCCTCTCCCATCATCCAATTAAAAGGAAATAAAATGAAAAGTCCGCAGGCCACAGGAGGAGTTGCCAGTGTGCTTCTACTGCCACCCATAAGCACTCACCGCGGACTCCGAGATGACAGCTGAGGAATGGGCAGCGCCATTAGTCCAGGGACTTCTCCAGCGATTGGTCTTGGAAAGTTCACACTCATGGAGGAGGGCACTGATTCTCTATTAGAAGAGTTCAACCTCATTTATTTCCTCTAGAATGGGTATAAAGTAATCACTTTTAAGGTCAACAGAAAGGGAAAATGCTTTCTATCACATCCTGCAGTTAGAAAGCCTACTGAAATCTCCTCAAGGCTGACCGCTTTTTTTCCATGTGAGTCCTCATTTACTTGTACTTGCTTACGTAGCTTTTCTTTTGAGCACATTCGGCTTGAGGAAGGACACAAAAGAGGACTCTTGCCTTTCACCATTTATCTTAAACCTGGAAATGAATGTGTGGGCTCTACCTAACGCCTGTCCAAGGACAGCTTGTTATCAAGCCTTACAGAGAAATTAAAGCAACATAACTACATCGGCTAGCATAGGGTACAATCGTTTCACATGAAACATTTAAACAGAACGATTTATTTGCACACAGGGACAGTCCATCCCATCGCAATTGCATTGAGACTAAGTTATACTGATAACATCACACATTTGTTGGCGTAATAATAACTGAATAAAGCCCATGTGAAGATTAAGCCTGAAGAAATTATATTACATGCCAAAGGGTTACCATACTTCTTCATTCCCCCCTATAACATGGTAAGAGATAAGAACGTCTTGAATTCACTAAATCTGTAACATTCGTGTCGTCAGTTTTCATGACTTTCTCAAGAATTTCATGAACTGCTCTTTAACTTTACCTCCATGAGCACATGGGCACGTTAGGTGACATGAAAAACATTTCTAGGCATCATGGTAGGAGAGAAAAAGCTTAAATATGCAAGCTGAATGTACTCCAAATACCTACAGAGAAGAACAGGGGTTTTAACTATCAGACCATTTAAGCCAGTCTCATGATTTTGTGATTTCTTGTGCATGACGGTGTTTTAAAATCCATCAAAACCATTGTTATGATTGACAGTCTCTTGTGAAAACAGGTGGGATTCATTGACTGAACTCAGATCTGAGGTGGTGTAGAGTATCTGAGACACCTGCATGGGGCTGGCAGACTTGAGTTAAGATATCCATCCAGACCTCCGCTCCTCCATAGCAGCAACTTCAGGCCAAGTGGGTACCCTGCAGTGTCTGAAATGATAATTGACAGCTACCGAGAGAAAGCTGGATCCCACCCTAACAGCTTCCCAAGTGTGAAAAACTCGCTTGCTCGCAGTCCTGCGCTGTGCTGTCAGCTGCCAACTGTAGCATCTCCGAATGTGCTCCGCTGGCATTCAGTCTGGTGACTACAACCGTGAAACAAGGAAATAAAAGCATTTCCTCCCTCTACCCCTCCGTCAAAAGGAGAGGCATTCGCGGCAAATGTAAACACAGCTCAGGTTCAGCGTAGGCAGGCACCTGCCTGACCATCCCTGGGGGCTGTTCCTACAAGTCGAACCTTACACCATTGTGGTCACCCTCGTCACCACCACATCCCGGCATGTATTTGGTCTGGTGACCCTCTGGGGAACCTCCCACCACGCAGGCTACACCCTGACTGTTTTGTGACAATTAGACTAAGGAGGACACTCACCAGAATTTGTTTTCCTTAAAAGTAGTATCCAAATCCAGCTCTTTGAAGATGAGAGGAGCAGGGCGTCTTTCCTGTAATGATTTTCCTGAATCATAAAGCCAGGTGCATTTTCCTCACTCTGTAAGAAGCTTTGGTGGAAGGAATGCAACTGCAACACAACATTGCGTAAGCAGCTCACACCAGTATCTTCTTTCACGTTTCTTAGTGGATTTTTTCCCCCTGCTACAGCAGAAGGTATTTTCATGTAATGAAACATGTAACTTATTTTCTACAATTTCTATGCTTTCTATAATTACAGAATTAGAAGAATAAGAATTTAGAAGACATTTCTGTAATTTATTCATTCACAGATAATCTAACTATCTATTCTATACCTATCACTGTTTGCTCGAATACATATATAGTAACTGCTTTACTGCAACAGCTGAGATGGTATTGCCCTCACACACACCCCCACTCCAGCAATAAAAATCATCTTGACCCATTCAAAAAGCCTCCAGAACTGTCAGTTATATGACATTAAAAAAGGCAGATTACTCGACAAAAGGCTTGGCTAGAGAAATGATTGCAGGCATAAAGAGCATGGTATGCATATGATCAGATGCCTAGGAAGGTTTTCAGCAATTCCAGGCAAGGCATTTTTTTGGGTCCCATGAATTCATGCAATAAATGCCACTAGCAGAAGACTCAGTGCCCACACCGTCCCGCAGCCTTGCCCACAAGTCCTTTTCTCCATCATCACCCACAGTACAGAAATGTTGGGTCGCTCCTAGGCTCTCTTCTGGAGTGAAAGAACTCTTCCTGAAACAAAACCCAGCTGCTGTTTCGGTAACTTGCTCAAGAGACACTCCCAAAATGCAGCACGGACAAGGCTGAACCAGTTTGGGCTTCCTTTGCTGTACACAAACGTGCAAAGCTAACCCAGCAGGCTCCGATCCCTCAAACGTCACATCCCCTTTTGTTTCATGCCATTAATTCCAGTGGGCTGCAAAAAGACCCAGCCCCTCACGTTACTACAGACTTTTGAGCGGAAAACCAAGCAAAACATACTGACAATAATAATTATGCCTTACGGTCATGGCTACACCATCTGGGGCCAGAGGAGATACACAGCCAAACGCTGTGAGTGTGGACCTGGCCGGTCTGCTCTAGAGAAGGCTGATGTTGAGCAACGCGATGCTGCTGCAGCGCTTGGCCTGGGGCGAGGGACTGCTCCCTGCAGGGGAGCGGCCTTCGGCACCAAAGCTGCGGCCACCGTCTGTCCGTGAGGACGTGCACAGCAGGGGGAATACCAAAGGTTTCTAAAGCCTCTTCTCTAGAAGTATCTTGCTTCATTTTGGAAACACTGACGTCATCTGAAGGGGGTACGCTCTGCACACAGTGGTGTACAAAGACTGCCGGTTTGGTGTGGCTCCCGAAAGCTCACGGCTCCCACGAGCGCTTCTCCGCTGCCAAAGAAGTGCCAAAGTTGACAAGAAACAAAGCAGCTTTTAGACAAGAAAGTGGACATGTCCTGACCCTTCTTGGCAGCTGACAACTGTCCAGGGTGGGGTTTAACATAAGAAAGTGTGAACAGACAGGGTTTCTGCTCCTGAATCCTTAGGAGCTGGATTTGAATCGTTTGCTGCTTCTGCTCTACAATGCCCTTGCAGCCCTCTAACGCTGCAGTCCTTCTCTGTCCCTGCAAGTCATCCCCGTGTCTCCTCTCCATCCCACACGCTCGTTCTCAGCAGGCTTCTGGCTCAGTTACGTTTGTGATACATCCAAACTGACTGGTTGACCTGGTGGTTTTCCACATCGCTTGTGACCTTGGGCTCCTTTCAAACCAGCCCCGTGCTGACGCAAGGTGTACGACTTTATGACACAAATTCTTCTTGATCCTGCAGGAATTGTACTTCCTTTCTTTAAAGCATTTAAAAAAATAGATCAGAGAAGATCGCGTGAAGAAACCACGGAGCTGCAAGCCAGGGGTTTTAAATCCCTCCTCTGTCACTAGCTTGCCGTGCGATCTCTGCCCTTGGGCACGCAACTCCTCTGCGACGCTGCTCTCCCCAGAGGAACTAGTAGATAATGGAGATTATTTGTTGGTGTAATACTCTCCGAGATGTAGGCAAGAAAAGAGGATGCAGAGGATGCGCCGGCGAAAAAATCCCCCAACGGGTAGGCATCTGCGAGCCACACCGCTGAGATAACCACTGCCCGCCCGCACCCCAGCAGCACGGGCAGGCAAAGGGCACGAAGCGACCGCTCGGGGCTAAAGCCGCGCAGCGCGGCGTCCTCGGCACGCCGTCTCCAGCAGGGGAAGAGTACGTGCTTCCTCGCACAGCGTCTGCGTGCGTCCCGAACCAGGGGACTGCACTCAAGGCTACCTGAACATGCAATTAAGGGGGGAAAAAAAAAAAATAGAGTAGAATAAAATAAAACTGATATACTTTTTAAAGAATCCTCCACTTTCTTTTGACTGTTTTTGTTACCCCAGGCCCCTCTTCCCAGAGCCGCGCCACAAGAAAGGATCGCCCCGACTCCGCTCTCATTTTAAAATGCTTCTTTTTATTTCAGTGGTTGTACATTGGGTGAATGAATTTAACGTCACAACAGAAATAGAATGGCTATTTAACAGACCACTAGTAGTTATATGCTGAAAAAGAGTGAATGGAGGGGTTTCTTTTAACTGTTACCGAAATACTCATCGTACACGTCGTCAATTATGCTGGATGAGAGAGGCAAACGAAAAGGTATTTTGGTGAGGTGCTGTATCCTTTGAAGAAAATAAACGCTGAGACATCTCAAGTAACTTGAAACCGTGTCCCAGCTACAGTATTCACTGTCTCTGTGTTGGCCCATCTCATGGTTCTTTTAGGGGGTTTTATTTGTTGGTGGTTTTTTTTTTAATTAAACAAAGCATTTAAAATTTAATCATTTTCATTAGACTTTTTTTTTAAAATATAAACAAAGTTTTGGCAAATAATATTTATACAGAAAAATAGTTTTAGATCTTCCCAAATTTTGAAATAGTCTATAAAATTACTTTATAAATAAATAAAATGCAGAATCTGTTGTACACGTATTTGCACATCTCTGTAATTGCCTCCTTACTGTTAGCATAGGGTTGTACTTGTACAGTTTTCAGGAATATTACAAAGTCATAAAGTCGGAAAGCGGATCTCTTATTAAAAATACATTTTCTCTTTTTGTCTGTCAGTTTATCTGGATGAAAGACCTGATGTATCTGAAGCTTCGTCATCCATGGGCAAAAAATAGTAGTATTGGATTAATTGTAAAAAACATAGAATAACAGTTATTTCGAAACATAAAAAGTTCACACAAAACAATGTCTTGAAGAGTTATCTACATAAAATATTTAAACAACATGGATAATTTACCATTTAGTATTATACAATAAGCTACCCAAATGCCTAAATTAACTATTATAAAAAAATAAAAACAACTTTGACAGATATAGGCCAGTTGCAGTGTCAACTACCTAGTTATAATGACTGAGAAAGTCTACAAATGTTAGTGTTTTAATAGTATATAATGGTGATACCTTAACTGCTAAAGTAACGAGTTAAGATACGTTATTTTTCCACAAATTAAAACTAACGCAACGTTACAAGCACTATGTTAATTTTACAATCAAATTGTGATTTTTTTTCGTTCTGATGATCAAATCTCCAGCTTTATATATAAATAGATAGTAATTAGACATCGGACAAACAAGATTTAGCCCGGAAAATAATTTCCTAGACAAATAATTATATGGTTAGTGCCTTCAGTCGTTCAGAACGGGCAGTGCTGCCAAAGTTTAAAATAGTTTACAATCAATCTGAAGAGGTTAAGTTAAAATACTGCAATCACTAATAATGTCCACATAGAAAACTTATGCTGCAAACAATTATACATAATATCCACTTATAACAGCTGTCTTGTTTTTTTAAACAATAATTTAAAAACTATGTCATTTATGTGATACATGTGCAACATATAAAATGTGAAATATGAAATATTTGGTACAATAGTGCTTGAAACAAATCTCAAATCAAACAAATGAAATTTTAATTATACATATATAATTACCTTGTAAATCAACAAAGTATTTAAAAAAGTAAACAACATTAAAATCTGCTTCATCCATATATATGTATGTATGTATATATAATATGTATATAATCGTATTAAAGATATCTTCATACTTTTGTGACATAAAATATGTTTTTAAAGAAAAACAATTAAAAGAACTATTTTTTTCTCCACTCTAATCTGGTTACAATCGTATAATCCAATTAAAAAAATGCAAATACAGTAATGATTTATTGAACTGAATCTCATTCTACATTCTTAGTGTTCAGTTAATAGCCTAGATTAAAGTCACCTATGAAGTTTCAGTGACTCAACTGAGTTTTAATTAAATTAGAGTATCATACAAATCTCTTCATCTACAGCCTTCTTTTTCGCCTTTTTTTTTGTTAGTTTGGTCTTTTTTTTGTTTGATTTTACACTTCTAGAAGTTACTTCTTAACAGCTTGGATCTTTTTGGTAACCTGACTAGGAGTTTGAAAGATTATTCGCTTCCGGTGAGATTTGACTGTTGGCATCAGGCTCACTTTCATCAAGTCTGATGTGACAAAATTTAGGCACTTCTGCAAAGTCTCTTTTAAAAACACTATAAATATACTTGTAAAATAATATTCTCAAGACTTTGTTCTTTTGGGGATTGAAAGGGGTATGAAGTTCATACTGTGCAAATTTTTTTAATTTTCTTCTGCTATTCTGCTATGATTCAAATGCAGCTTCTCCATACAAGTCAAACACCAACCATGTGCATCTAAAGAACTTGTGCTTTACTTTGGACTTCTGGCTAAAAATATTCAGATTGGCAGGGTGATGTGCAGGACACTGGGCTGCGTTTCGCTCCTCTGTCTTGGAATCAACTCGCTAGGGGAGCAAAAACAAGATTTTTTTTTTAACCGAGAAGAAAAACCCCAATCATAGTTCGGGTGAAAATTAAACCTGCAACTGGGAGAAGTTTTTAGCCGATACAACTTAATTATTGCTGAGCTCGAAAGATTCATAAACACTGAATCTCACGAGACTAACTTAACTGGACCGTTTCCGTTAGGTATAGTTATGGAGAAAAGACAATATTTGCAAGGATTAAACTATGCTTAGAAAATCTTTAAAACTAAATGTTACCCTTTATGTCTTGAAACATCACAGCTGGTATCAGGTAGTTAACTATTTTAGGTTGGAGTATAGTAAGCATACCATATTTAATATTCATATATGACATAGCAGCACTAGCTTTTTCGAGTTTGTGATTTGTCCGTAAGAACAAATTCTTGACTTAGCATGCAGTTTGTGGCAACTCTAGAGAGGAGGAGACGGGGTAGTATGTACAGTAGCCGTGCTTGGCCGTCCGCAGGGAGGCTTCGTGACACTCCGTTCCGCTCCTGCCAGCTATTTCAGGATTATCTGTTAAGAGAAAGGAAAGCATGATCGCGCTTCTAGGTGACGCGGGGAGAGCAGTTCGCCCAGACGGCTGGCACTGGACTAACTAAGCTCGGGCGCAGCCCGTACGGGACAGCAGCCCGTACGGGACAGCGTCCCGTATCCTCACGCTGCCTGGGAGGCGTTTGCCTTTCACAAACCTGGTCATCCTCTTCCCGCGCACACGTCCTCAGGTGCGTGAGAACATGCAGAGGGGGTGTTTTATGTGTCAAAATACTGGAGACCGCGCCGAAGACACAAAGGAAGGGCCTGGCCGTCGGTAGGGCGCACACCCTCAGCGCCCTGGCGGTCAGCGGAGGAGGAAGCAGCCCTGGCCTCCCGAGGAGGCTCACAAGTGCATCGGTGCCTGGTGCAATTCTCCAGCTCCCACCCTGCTCCCACAGAGTCAAGAACGACCAAGGGAAACGGTGGAGGCAGGGCCCCTTGCCACTAACAAGCAAAAAAATGTACTGGGCTGGGTGTTTTCAACAAGCTAAGTGTCTTTTCAATGCGCTTTTAGCAGCTGCTTGTTTACTAAAAAAAAATTGTCTGCAGGTCAGCAAACTTGAGAGGTTTTTCACGCTTCCTTATGTCAGGAGATCCAGGGGGATGATAGTAACGGTAACTCTGCGTGCCTAGCTAGTCACTAACCTTGCTGCTTTACCTCCGCAATGTCTCAAACTGAGGGTGAAGCAACCATTTTACAGAGGCAAACTCTCGCGCTTCCAATACTGAGAAGGTTAAATGCACAATGTGCCCAGCAACCGACTCAACCTGCTCACAGTATTGGAAAACAGTCCAGATTTCCATCACCTGCCTGAAACTGCTGTCAGTGAAAGTGATGTCAAAAGCCAGGGGTGTGATGTTTTATCACGTCACTGCTAATCTGTGCTCCAGACTTAAGCGCAAGTCAAGGA